TATATATGTATGCAATAAATATCTGTATTTAAATCTTTTTATTTATTAATATATTTTATATATTAATATTAATATTAATATTAACCGTTTGGATATTAAATAATATTAAGCTTTCAATTAAAATTTTATACAAAGACTTACCTCAAAGCAATTGTGATTGTATTATTTATTCATTATTTAATCTTAAAGCTTAATTTGCTTAAAATTCGAAACAGTTTTCATAATCGATTATTGAAAAACCATTAATATTCTAATATTTTTCTAAAAGTTAAAAATAACTTTAAATGGCACAAAAATTGACATTTATCGGATATCTTATCATAAAAGATTTGTAAGAAAAATTGTTTTATATTTTTAACACCTTATAATATCAGAAAGCTATTTCAGATGCTTCCAGTTAGAATACTTTAAAACGGAATGACTTTAAGCATGCAATTTTTTTTCTGAAAGAGAAGAAAAGATGTGCACATACACATATATTCGCAGATTTACGATCCAATGTCATAACTTTAATATTTTTGCTCAGCCAGTTACTAACTCGTGCAGAATGTTAGAGAGACGTTCTCACGCGAACGTACATCTATCAAGGATGAAAAATGCACATGCATTGCAATCGATGTCGATTCGCTCGTTCATATAACGCTTACCCAAAGGTCAGATTGCGTGCGTTATTAGCACGCACTCGATAATTGGAGACCTTTATACGCAATCTAAATTATCGGCTTATAATTGTTTTCGATTTCCCGTAAGATACAGTCCCTCCTGCTACTGACATTTTATTAGGTCAACGCTTGACATTTACAGGAACGTCTTATTATTATATCAGTCATCTTATCAGACCCTCCCACATTTGTGTTAATTTCTGCCCGTGATAAGGATGGATATTTTTATTTTCTCATTTTTCAGAATCGCCCTGGCGATACCAGTTGGGGAGGATGGTTATTCCAAGTGCAGCATGTACGATGTGAATTATACGGAAGTTCTGTTAAACGGGATCAAAGAGGCGAATCCGAGCTGGCCAACGAAGGGTTGCTCGCACGGTTGGGAGTTCAATTTTACTGACATTCCCTACGAGACCGTGGCGACTGAGGTAAAGCCCATTCTATTGTAAAAGCATAGTTATATAAGTGGTAGTTATAAGAATTTGATCAATCACAATCGGTACTCTTCTCATATTCGACTGTAATTGGTCAATTTACTCAATTCTTACAATTACAATCATTTGCAACTAAGCTTTAAGATGGACAAAAGAAAGGATTGGAGAACGAAAATTAATTGGAATCACCGGAGGAACGATGCTCTTCTCTCTGTGAACGACGATTTGTTCATTATAAGCATTCGCAGCACTATTTAGATGTCTCAAGGTGGCTCGAGTGTAGCACGTGGGTAATGAGCGAATGGTGAGTTATGGAGTATACGTATCCAACGTAACGATCATACTCGCCACTCGACAGCCGAAAGACAGTCGTATATACTTGGCACGCATACTGGTGTGCAACCGATGTTTATGCCGCTTATGTTTTGTCACGCGAACTCGCACCACGTGTACTTGCGCGACAAGGACGAGTCGAGAGTACGCAAAGAGCAATACATTTTACACTCGCGATTGCGCCGCGGTATTGAGCAACCTCCTCATGCTCGTTGAATTCCTGCGTCATTTAGAAACTGGATTGTACTGCTGAGCAGATTCGGAAGCCTTTATCTTCCAAAAGACATTCCCAGTTCCACCTGCGTCGACCTTCGCATCATCTTCTTCTTAGCATGGAAATGAGCTATAATGAGAGCCATCGGGAAATCTTATCCTTTAAGTAGTTTAAGTGTAGACAAGTATTTTAGGTTTTGCCGATTAGGAAATAAAATTGAGGATATTATATAACAAGAAGGAAAATATAAATTTTTTTTTTATTTACGATGTTCAAATATAATAATATAATATAAAATAATAATTATTATGTCATTATATTATTATATTATGTTATTATATATTATGTTATTAGATATTAATATATAATTATTATTGCATTATTATGTTATAATTACGTTAATAATAGTAATTACAAAAATAAACGTCTTCAGTTTACCGATCTCTGCTTTACAGCGTTTGTTTAATCGCGATTGACACAGACTTCACTTTCGATGAATTCACATTCGTGAATCGATATCGAGAAATAAATTATATTCCATCTTCAATTCTCATTTTTATTACAGTTGGGATGGGTATGCGAGCACAGTGCGCTACCGACGACCGCCCAGAGCGTTTTCTTCATCGGCGCGATCTTCGGCGGCTTGATCTTCGGATGGATCGCCGACAGATATGGCAGAATACCGGCGCTGGTCGGTGCCAATGTCACCGGTTTTCTGGCGGGCGTTGCGACTGTTTTGGCTGGAAGTTTCTGGGAATTCGCGCTGTGCCGATTCTTCGTCGGCTTCGCTTTCGACAATTGTTTCACCATGATGTACATACTGGGTACGTATGTGTTGTGGGTTTCCTTCCACGTGGTCTACAATAGGCAATAGCAGTAATGAATTAATGAGTAGACGAGGAAACCAATCATAGTTGAATGTGAGCATCAACTATAATCGATCGATACCTACTCTTTAATCCATTACTGTTATTACTCATTGTAGACCAATGTAGCTTTGTATTATATTCCGTTCTTCTAGAAACGAGAACTTGCATTTATATAGAATTCAATCATTTCGTAAATCCCCATTGCGTCTTTTCAATTTATCGCGCGTTAATCATGAGACTTCCTTTTCTTCGGATGTAATAATTGCTTCCTCATTGATGATAAGCTATTCCTTTTATGCGATTTCGGAAGTCGAAGAACCGCACGCGTTGCGGCAAGATATGTACGTGACGCACAGTTTAAGGCTAATAAAAAAAAGGGAAAAGTCTTAATTTTTCGTCAAAATAATATTACACATTTGATACTGCATAATATATTGTTGATCGTCTGGCTATATTGAGCCTCTCCTAAAATGTACTTACGTTTAAAAAAATGTTACTTCAAACCATAATTTGAAATAAATAATTAATGTGAAATAAATGCTTAATAAATGTTAAATGAACATTTAAAAAATGTTTTTTTCGAACCATTATTTCAAATGAATAATAAATGCAAAATAAATATTTAATAAACGTTGAGTAAACGTTTAAAAAATATTTTTCCAAACCTTTATTTCAAATGAACAATTAATGTAATATAATAAATATTAAATAAACTTTAAATTAATGTAATTTTGAAAAGGATTCGTAAAAAAAGTAAAATTAACGAGAAATAAACGTTTGAAAAACGTTTAAAAAATATTTTCTGCTGATTAAGTAATGAACTCTACAATAGACGGCATTAAATATTATTATACAATTATTTTGTACAGTTATATTAATGGCTCTTTTAAATAATTCAAAACAAACAATCTAGAGGCTCAAGAGTGTTTATTTTGAATTATTTAGAAGGAAATATATTAATATATAGTATATAATGTAGCCTCCAAACGATAATAATATAATATATTATACAATATCAAACATGCAATAACATTTTATCGACAAAAAATCGAGATTGCTAAATTCAACGATTTATTTTAAAGAATTATAAATATAATATATAATATATTAATTAAGGACTAATAAATTAATATTTATTTGCAATATTTTACGCAATTATTTACGTAATTTCTGTTGAGACACAATGAAATCGCTTCGCCTTTAATAATAACTCTCGCCGTCTATTGAAGCTTACAATTAGATCTTTATAGCGACTGTAATTAATTCTTTGTTGCATTGCCGTCAAACAGGTTCTGTGGAATTCCAGACCGGAATCGTGATCGTGGTCAGTTTTTAAAATCAGCTTTCCTTTCCACCTCAGTTTATTATTAATTAGCTGTTAACGAGAAACGCGTTCCTTTTCATAGACAAACTTCTCACGTGCATGGTTATCCCAATTTCAAACAACGTGAAACAATGCCATGCGCTAAAAACGCATCTCCTTGTATTCATCAAACCGTTACGTCAACCTTAACCCCGTCAGTTATCGCGTTACAATCGTCATTATTTCATCGCAATTGTAATTAAGTCGATTAAATCGTCATTAAAACATCTTCACAAGAGTTCTGGTACGTAGACTGATTTGCGGACAATTATGTGTGTATATCTTTATCCATCTTAATATGATTGAAAAGGAGATAAGATATCTCCTCTGCATATCTCTTCTTGCACAATCATCCGCACCCGATTATCGCTGCTTAGCCTTGGCGATAGACCGGTAATCTGGCCCGCGAGTGATTGTCGGTCTGCCCGAATCGAGTCTTCGAGCGACTGTCGAGTCATGGCCGATTACGATCGCCGGATTCAGCTACCAGGTCAAGCTCGCCCGGTTTGACTCATAAAGTCACGGTTATTGCACTCATCGTGGCGAGTTTTGCTAGTTCCGTTTCGTCGATCTCGTCGGTGGAAGCGTGGCTAATGTCAGAAACACGTATCGTAAAATGCTATTTCCCGCTCGTAAAAGAGTATAAATTGACAAGTCGATCACATCTCATTGATTTGTCTTTCGTGAAATTATTCGTTACGAGGAATTTGATCAATTTGCTTTGAAGGACGAAGGAGATTGTAAAATCGCTCAATTCGTATTTCCATCGAATTCCTCGCGGAATTTCGTAACTGCAAGCTATTATTACAGAAATCGTAAAATCGTAAAATCATTTAACACAAATCTGCTCGCGTTGCTTGAAATCCACCAAAATTTTTGTAATTAAAACGAGATAAATACACATTCGAGTGTTGAAGAGAG